TCGGCCTGCGCCTGCCCGGCCCCCTCAGGCGGCGCTGGGGCACAAGCCGCCGCGCGTCGTAAAATTCACGCCAGCTTTTCAATAAAGCGGTGGCAAACGCGTTGGGACAGCTGGGTTTTAACGGGCGGGAAACACTGTTTTGAGTTGTCCTTCAGAACTGTCTGCATGAATAATGAATGATCTGCTTGAAAGGGATTTATAGGCTGAATTAATTTTGAATGAAAGTGACTTAAACTGTGATTAAAATCATCTCTTGAATCAGCAAAATCCTTGATTTAAATAACTGATGTTAAATTTTATTGTAAGTTTTTTTTTTTTTTTCTGGTCACTTTCTTAAAGTAAACTAGATTCTAATTGGATTTAACTAGGTGATTTATTTCAGTAATCCTTTTTTTAGGTAGCTAGTGTAATATGGTACTTTATACACGCGTGCAATTTCTTGACTTTTGAGAAAGATGAAGTATATCGTGCAACTTGAAACAAGCAACATAGATTTGAATTGATTTTAAACTTCTTTGTATAATCTGTCTTTAAGACAACAGTACTCGTAATAGGCAGAATTGGGAAGAATTCTTACTGCATGTTTTCACATTTGAAACCAAATCCTACAAAATTAACAGAACCAACAGTTCAGTTTGGAACAGTTGATTTCTCCCACTCAAAGCGTATGTTTACTCAGAGTGGTAGAAGACTTTCCAGTCCCTCAGTTTCTGATATTTGTAGCCACAATTGGTTGAACTGAAGCAATTAAATAGATTGACGTGAGGAATGAGCCTTTTGACAAATGTGTACTCTCTGCCCTTGAAAGTTTTGATGTCTTTGCTTGAGAGTGACTTAAAGCAAGCTAGTAGCTTAACCCTTCTGTAGAATATGCAATATATGGCTACTGCCTTTAAAGTTGGAGAGGGAGTTGGGACCCTATATGGAGGTTTATAAAATCCTGAGCAGCACAGAGGAGGTACATAGGGATTGATTGATTGCTGACTTTTCTAGTAAAAGAGCTAGAGGTATCAAATTAGGGAGAGCCGCTTTCAAAACAAAAGATGATGGTTCCTCATGAAGCGAGTCGTCGAACTGGGGAGCTCTGCTCCAGCAAGCTGTGGATGGTGGAGGCTTGCACTGACTTGAGCCTGGATAAGTTCATAGAAATCTTCTCACTTTTAAACACATAGCGAACACCTGGCTCAGGAATCGCGTTGGCTGAGAATATGTAGGCTGAGAGAATACCGGGGGAGGCATCTCCTGTTCTTGGGTTCGTCCCCGGGCCGTGTGTCTCTGGCCCCTTTTTCAGAGACAGTATCTCATCTCTATAAGACTGTCTCTCTAAGACTGATCTGACTAATATAGCTGTTTTGCTACTTTAGCGTCTGTTATTTTTAAAGCTTTGACAAACAATACTGTGCCTCAATTTTCAAAGTTGTTTAAAAGTATTTAGCACTTGCAATATCATCTAAGATTTCTTTTTCTTCTTTTTAAGGTTAAACCTGTCTTGATTCAGATAAACATCTCCAGTTTGGCTGCAGAAGAGAAGACCTGGAAATAAACTCGTGAAATGTGTTAAACTGTGCAATGCCAGGAAACGTGGATATTGTGTCGCACATCTCTCCTGCCTAGTGTGGACTGGTGCAAGGCTGAGGGTACAGCTGCATTTGCGCTCTGTCGCAGCTGTACAGCTCTCCTGAGCCCAGGCTAGTTCTGCTGTGAGGACATAAATAAGAAGGAAGCGTGAAGTAAACCACTTCCTGGAAGGACTTGGGAGTGACAAGTGCTTTTTGTTCATAGGTGGGTGCAGATAGCCAGCTGCATTTGCGCTCTGAAGTACTGGGATGCAACCCAGCCTCAGTGCAGTTACTGTTCTGATGCAGCCTTTACTTGGACATCTCCAGAGTCTGCTCCATGACCTTGAGACCTCAGCTGGATGTTTTTCTACTCCCTCCTGCCTTATCTCAACATCTCAAGACATCTCATTCAAAATCCACTCTTGAGAATTGTTTTTTTGAGCTCTGCTGTGTGACAGTGAGTGTTTGTACTGTGATTATTTTGGTAGAGAATTACTGATGTGTGACTTTTGGGGGGGGTATTGTTTCAAATAAGGGTGGTATCTCAATAAGCAGAAACATTTAGAATAGGTTCATAGTTGTTTTGGGTTTTTTTTTTTTAAGCTTGTTCTCAGATAAGATTCAAAAAGTGTTTGCAGATATATCTGACTCTCCTGTTAGAACAAGTAAGAGAGACTCATTTCTTGAGATTACGTAGTAACATGCGGCATGTTCAGAAAACCTTCCCTGTAATTTTCAGACTTTCCTGCTGTTCATGCCCAAAATGTTGCTTCTATATGAAGGCTTTTGGGTTGTTCCGTAAAAGTTTCCTGTCAAGCTCAGCAAGTCTTTACCCATCAAGGCAGTAAGATCAGAGCCATTTCGCCTGGGCAGGGTTCCCAGCGCTTGCCTGTCGATGAGTAACTGTTGTCTGAAGCTTATTAGGGACTTCTAGTCACTTGTAGCTCTAACTGCATCTTGTTCGTTTGAATACTTCCTAAGTGAGAACAGGGAGTGTACTGACTGCCCACCTCTACTTTATTGCTCTGAACAGGGAGAGGTAGGCGTCAAACTCCAGTTGACTCCATACCTTGGACCTGAGTTGCTGAGGTTTTTTATTTTTAGATGAAGGGATACTCTGTAATATTTCAGGGCAAGGAATGATTTACTTGTTTCCTTCCTCTTCTTATCCTTAAGTAATTATTCTTCCTTCTGACTATGTACTCACATTTGATGCTTTAAAAAAAGATTTTTTTTATAAAATAAGTGCCTAGAATAAGCCTAGAATCTTGAAGGTAAGAAAATGGACAACAATATCAAGTGGCTGGCCTTCATGTTGACTGCTAGATGTAGGGCAGAAACCAAGAAACAGCAAGGAACTAGTTCAGGAAAAACAAAGTATTCAAAGTGGTTTTTTTTTTTTCTTTTTAAGTTCACTGAATATATTATTGGAATCATACATGGTATAATATCATGGAATAATACAAGTTAATTAAAGTCAGATAATATAAATATTGCATGAAAGAAATATACAATAGAATATCTTAAAAACATTAATATAAGATAAATCTTTAACATAAAAGATTCTTTCTAAGTTTTAAAAAAGTAAATGTGGATTGTTAGTCAGCCTGCTGGGGATGTGCTTAATTTGCTTCCCAATCCTTGGAGAAGCTAGAGCTGACTGTTAGCCTGTTATTACCTGTCATTACCTAAACAAATCTGATCTTCATCTGAGATCAGTTTTAGCTGCAGAGGAGAAAAGCTTATGCCTTGCTGTAATTTTTAGCTTGTGACCATTCTTCCAGTTCTTCTTTCCATATCTCTTTTCAGCCTCCCTTAGTCTACTGCGCTGACACTCATAGCGCACTGAGACTGACAAGGAGGTCCACAGAAGTTTTTATGAGCGTTGCTGCCTCTCCAGTAGCATCGTATACAGATGCTTCCTTCTGTCTGCCCTCCAAGTTAGGCACAAGTTTGCTGTTCTGTATAGTATCTAATGTAATTAAGATCTCGTGCCAAAGTTAGATTCCTAGGTTTTGCTATAACTTTACAATACTATTAATGATGCTATTCACAGCTGTGAGAAGCTGATGTTTGAGCACCTTTATTCAAATACCGACAGAGAATTAGAGTTAGTTACAATCAGACGCAAACTGGCTACCAGGCCATGAGACCCTGCCCAGGGTCCTGTCACCACAAGTAATTACTGTCAGAGCTGCCAGTGTAAATTAGTTTGGGCTCCTTTCAGTTCCTAATAAACGCAGTAAAATTGCCAGGGCAGCTGACACTGATCTCACCAGAGAAGTTGAAGTGTGATGTAATTGGGAAAACAGACTTCTCCTTCCATCATGTTTAATAGCCATCTGTCCAAAATAGTGCTGAGCGGGTGTAAGAAAAACACCCCATACTACTGCTGTTACTGGGACTTTCTTTATCCTGCAGTTGGGTAGGGAACGGCATTTTGGTTTTTGAAGATAATTGTTGCATGTGTTGCTCACAGGGCTCTGGGTTGACAGGCCAATAAAATAATCTGTGGCTTTAGTGTAGTCAAATATGTAGAATGTATTTTTTCCTTTTCAGAACACTTAAATCCTGTAGCAGTAAATAACAGGCATGTATTCAGAATGTGTGTGCCTTGGGCATTATACATACATGCATTATTACATTCATTAATATGTAACTGAAAAAACAAAAAATATTTTTCCGGTAAAAGGCTTTTTATTGCTTAGCCAATAAAATGGAAGAGTAGTGATTTATGCTTCACTGTCTTGACTGTATGCTTTCCCCATACATGGGGAAATGGAAAAAATGATGGGGCTGTGGCTCAAACATGGGATTTCAGAGTAAGAAGGGCCTGGCAGTTGCTCAGACTTTCCTTGTGACCTCCAGAAAGTCACTCTTAACCTCAACTTTGTTGCATCTACAATACAACTGCTGGTGCAAAGGGGTTATTTTGGGGTTTTGTAAGTGGTTAAGTCTTTTGCAAATTCCAGATTCATCAAAGTATTGTGTTTTGCAGTCCTTACACAGACAGAGTATTTCCTTCTGCATTAACACTGTGCAATATACATTTTCCCTTGAGGCCTCCAAATATATACCTTCCCATGACCCCTCCTCTCCTTCCCCACCTCCCCAAAAAAGATGTTAGGTGTAGGGATTCGAGCACGGACCATTAGCTAATTTTAATCCTTTTTTCTTTTTCTCCCTTTTGCCCCTTCCTAGGATGCAGGGGCTTTAATCCAGGATGAATGAATGCTACTATGATAGACGCATGGACTTTTTCTATAACAAGACAAACACTGACACAGTAGATGAGTGGACAGGGCCAAAGCTTATTGTTGTTCTGTGTTTTGGGACATTTTTCTGCCTCTTCATTTTTGTTTCGAATTCATTGGTCATAGCAGCTGTGGTCAAAAACAAGAGGTTTCATTTTCCCTTTTACTATCTCCTGGCCAATTTAGCTGCTGCAGACTTTTTTGCTGGAATTGCCTATGTCTTCTTAATGTTCAACACTGGCCCAGTGTCTAAGACATTAACCGTTAACCGGTGGTTTTTGCGTCAGGGTCTTCTGGATACCAGCCTGACAGCTTCTCTGGTGAATCTCCTCGTCATAGCTGTTGAGCGGCACATGTCAGTAATGCGGATGAAGATCCACAGTAATCTCACGAAGAAGAGAGTCACCTTTTTAATTATCTCAATTTGGGCCATTGCTATTTTTATGGGTGCTGTTCCTACCCTGGGTTGGAACTGCCTCTGTAACATTACAGCCTGCTCATCCCTGGCCCCTATTTACAGCAGAAGTTATTTGGTGTTCTGGAGTGTCTTAAACCTTGTAGTTTTCTTCATTATGGTGGTGGTTTACATAAGAATCTACATGTACGTCCAGAGGAAAACAAATGTCTTGTCGTCGCACACTAGTGGATCCATTAGCCGTAGGAGGACCCCAGTGAAGCTTATGAAGACAGTCATGACTCTCTTAGGTAAGAGACTATGGACCATGCTGTGCAAGGCTGGCAGTGCCAATCAATGCTTTAAAAAAAACCCAACTAGACAAACACAGACTTCTTAGTGCTGGAGTTTAGCTTTCTGTCTGATGTAGCTAGTGTTATGCCCAAGAGAAATGTCAAGTAAAGGACCAGTCGATATGTAGAAGAAAGGTCTCTCCATTCAGTAATGCTCAGCCTGCTTGGTTGTAGGATGCTTGTTACAAAACGCAAATTATCTATAGTTTGTGGGGGGGAAAGAATTACTGAATGTGTTTGGATGAAAAAGGCTTGTAAAGGCTCGTAATGACTTAGCAGGACACTCTCAAACTAATGTTCTTTAGTATTTGCACAAGGCCCTGGATCCTGTGGCTGTTTATGGATAAGTTTTTCTGCACTTCCTCTTCTTGGCCATTTCTGTATGTACAAACTTCTCTCCCTACAAACATGCTCTTTCTGGGAAAAGGAGAGGGTGGCCTGGTGGATGTGTGACTTTATCCTGACAGATTTGCTTTGCAAGGGGAGAATTCACCTTCATTTTGTGAAGAACGCACAGTGCAAAATGCTGTGAGATGGTGATGGAGTATGGCCTTGGACATATATCTCTAGATGATAAAATGAGACCTGACCTACATCCCGTCCTAGATACACGCTTAATACGTGAGCAACTCAGAAGAACTCGCTTTATCAGCTAGCTGTGATTTGGCTGCTTATTAACATAAGAGAAACTAGAGGTTAAAGTAGGAGAAACCTAACTTAAAAGTAGGGTGCACAGGGTGGATGATGATCACTAGGGGAAAAAAACGTAATGGTGAATTCTTCCTCAGGACTTGAAACTGAACAAGATGTTTTCTGGAAGACAGGCTTCACTCAAACCTTGCTGCAGGTGTAACTGGGTGGAGCTCTGGGACACTTGCAAAACAAGGTTCAGATGGTGGAAGAGCGCTTTTGGACTTTCAAACTGTGAATATGGCTTTCCCGTTCTGAGAGGAGAAGTGCTCCAGTGATGTATGGGCCGGCATATGAGAGCTGGGGCTCTTGGGAAGGGTGCGTGTAGGAGGTGGTTGTAGGGTTCTATAGCGTGGAGATCTGACCTGGGTTTCACTTAGCTGAACTTCTTCAGGGATAAGAATGAAGGTGATCCTGGAACTGAATGTTTCACACCTTAGTTTTGCAATGGATTTTTTGAATCACTGCTAGCAGCTTGCAGAGATTTCTCTGTGCCACAGCTAAAGCTTGCCTTTATAGCCACTGTTTCTTTCCTCTGGTATTTAATGTGGCACTTCTGGGAAGCTAATGAGAGAAGGAAGAGGTCTGGGAGAAAACTGCCACATTTATTTTTCTGGAGGCAGTAGTTGCTGGGGTAAGAAGTTGAGATTGAGAGCATTTTCTTCTTTCAGAATCTCTGCGTGTTGTTTGCACAGTGGAGTATCTTCCTCTGTCTTCTCCCCCTGCACTCTCATCTCTGGGATTTCTCGTTGTCCCACAAGCAGGAGGCATTATAATGTTTGTAAATCTGGTGATTTAGGCGTAAGTGGAATTAAATCTAATTAGTATTGGCCTTCCAGTGATAGGTCTGGGACTTCAGAGTCATCTCTGGGGTGCAATGCTTCTAACCCTCCTTATAAAATCCCTTGCTAATTTACGTTAATAATGAAGTGATTGTAATGGCAGCAGTGTGTTGCAGGCACACTCTTGCCTTCACAATTATATGCTAATGGTTTGTTTGAGGTCTGGGAGAAAGGGGAAAAAAAGGTCCCTCTGAGATAGCCCTGTGCTATAAATGGCATGGTTTCAAAGCTTTCGGTCCCAATTGTCATGCACAGATGCTAAGTCTACCGAGCAGGAGGCAGATCTTCAGTTCAGGCTCAGGGCTGCTTTTTGATCTGCATGAAGAAAGTTTATTTCTTTGCTTATTTAGCTGAATAGCATTATTGTTTTTTAAAAAAGCCATTGTTTTAAAAAAATATTCAGGTCTGCAATGAACCAATCACTAATTTTAGAGATGGTGGAGAGGGGACTGTGTTAATGTCTCAGTGATGCTCCAGATTATCCTGAACTGGTTTTTTTTTTTTTTCTTCTTGTCCAGCAGGAGAGAGGAGCATTAAGCTTTTTGCTCTGCACTGTGCTGCAAGAATGCAAGCAGCTAGCTGCTTTGCCCTCTTTTCTTGGGCTAGATAGAGAATGGCATGACCGTAAGGTGCAAATACAACCTGCTCCCTTTTTGAGGGTGGAAGGGTGGACAAGAAGCCTTTAAGACGAAGGGAAAAGGAAAGTTTAGATTTTTTTTTTTCTTTTAATGAATGATTTTTTCAGTCAGTCTGATCCCTGTGGTCTTTGACACACATTTATATTTGTTTAATTTTTAATCAGAAATTAGACCTCATTTAACTTCTAAAACAGAGTTAGACTTGAATAGAAGTGCAGACTTAATAGTTTAGATTTAGAAGTCAGACTATGTCAGACAAAGATTTACTTCTAAATCCCTGTAAGTTTCTGAGTAAAGAATAATCAGAATTGCTCTCTGGATGAGTTTGGAGTTTGTAGTTTTAAAGAAATCCCAGCTCCTTAGTAAGGCGTTTTTCCTCACTCTGAGTCATTTACTGACAACCCAAGGGAGGCTTCAATTTTCTGTGAAACATCAGCCCCCTTCTCAGTGAGTTATGCTCACAGTGGCTCTAGTTCTTGGCTTGGTAAGCGTTTTTTTTAGACAATCACTATGGGATCCTTGCGAAAAGGAAAAGTAAAAGTGCTATAGTGTGCAGCAGCTTCCACCAAAAGATATTTAAAATGCTTTAGAAGCTGAGTCTAGTTAAACCTTGCAGTGCCTGACCTTGGAAAGGAAAGTGGACTGATGGTTCAAGCAAGTTACACGGTTCTCGTTTATGCTCATGTGCCTCCTGAAGCAGCTCGTCCGCTGCTGGAGCCTTGCCCCTCCAAGTCCCTCCGCAGCTGCCCTGCTTGTACAGCACATACAGACTGTGTGGTGCTGTTTCCTGTCCCCTCTGTGATTTGCAGGGATTAGATTCAATCTTTTGCTTCCTCCTTAAGCTCTCATGCAATGAAACTTGAAACCCATCCATTTGGAAGGAGAAAGTCCCTGCAATAAAACTCTGACTTTCTCCAAAAGTCATCCTGCCCTGGTCTATTAACATCCAGTGGACTGGGTCCAGTTAACTGCTGCACTGGAAAGAGATAAAAAGAAAAATGCTTTTAAAAAGCAATTCTCTGAGCATTTCTATTCAAGGCAGAATCACAGGCTTCTTTCTAGGAAGTCACATGCAAATAAATCATAATGTAGAGCTTTGTCTTGATTATTGTATGTGTGTGTGTATATACATATACATCCTTTAGTGATGTGTAGACCAAGGTCAGAGTGTGCTCAGTCTTGCAATAACACCCTCAGTTCTTGGTGCCACCCCCACGTGTTTGCAGGGCAGAGCAGAAAGGTGGCCTGTGCTTGGGAGTACAATCCCAACTGGCTGATGTGGGAGTTGCAGGCGCTGTCACTGACCCTCCAATTTCCTAATCCCTCGCAGTCCTTTTAGTCAGTGCTCGCCGTGGCCATATTACCCCACAGGTAGCTGGGGATCTTCCTTCGGAGTTATTAGGAAGGAAGATGTCTTAGAGGATGGGGGCACAGGAGACGAGCTATTAATTTGTAGATGATCTGTGCAAGTCACCTCGCTTACCCCAGCTTCTGTGAGAGACCTGTGAGAGGGACTTCTGGGGACCTTTGCAAAAGGTAAAGCCTAAAAGAAGAGATAGGAGCTTGTTATAACTGGCACCTCTTCTTCCTCTTTCTACTGTAACCCCTAAGAAGATCCATCACAGGAGAGCAGCAGCTGACATGACTTTTCCCTCTGGCATGCTAAATTGTAGGAAGTCATCTGGTTGAAATAGGAAGAGGAGAAGCCTAGCAAAAGGGTTTAAAACTCTCTTGGGCTTACCTTGTGGCGTAGTCCTAGCTAAGCATGTAACTAACTTTGAAGAAGCATGGTTGGCATGTGTGCAAGTACGTGATTTCAGGTGGGTTGCATGTGGTAGCTCATCTGAACTTGGCAGTTAAATGCCTGCTGAAATAGCAGCTTTGAGGCGGATGATTTTCAATTTTTGTGAGTTTATAACTTAATTGGTAACTTGCTATTTTAATTCAGGCACATTGGAAGCTACTACGATTTTTTTTTTTTTGGACTCTCCTCGGCATTGGCACCCTGAGAGAGAGCTTTGATTATGGGGAGAGTTTTATGGCGTGATGCTGCCGAAGCATCAGTAGTGCTTCCAGGTACACTAGAACTCATTTTCAACCAGAAATGACTTACTCTGCAATAAAATTTGTGTTTAGATTTAGTGGAAAATCCTCAAACTGACCTTGAGGCATTGTGATGCCTGATTTCCTCTAATGTGGTGTGCAAATTCAGAGCTGTTCTCTGGTTCATGTTGCAGCCAAGTGATATATCAAGTCACTTACGGGGATTTTAAAAAGTCCTCAAAATGAAGTTATTTTGAAATGTGGCACTTTGTCAGGGAGAGGAGCTCCCGCAGGGTAGAAACCTTGCAGACAAAATCACTGAAGGGCCAAGGCAAAGGTTTATATTTGTTTAACTATAGTTCCCTCTGGAAGTTCTGTGGTAAAAATAGAAAAATCCTAGAAAGGCAGCAAGTTTGGGACGTGCTTCTTTCATCTGTGCCATGTTAAGAGTAGGGTGTGAATCACTTGCATTGTATCCATACACAATTAAATGTATTTTTGATGGAATCAAAGTAACAGCACTGTACAGCCTTTGAACCGCCAACCGACGTACAGCTGAGGTTGTCTTTAGCCGTGGGCAGATGCAGCCTCCCCAAAGGGGAAGTGACAGGTTTGTATGCGCTTCTGTGGATACCAGAGATGTCTGCAGATGTGACTTGCCTCCTCCTACTTTTGCTGTTGAAACCTTTTACAGTTTTGCCTGTACAAGCAGATAAGGCTACCACAGTATACCCTGGGAGCTCACAGACCAGTCCCGCACAAAGTTTGCGAGACTGGGGTTTTGTTTGTAGGAGTTTTGTCTGGTTTTTGTTAAATGCAGTTTTGGGGCTTTTTCGTCTTCTGTGCACTTGAGAGCACCTTACATGCCTTGCTGTAGGTAAAAGAAATACAGTTGGTCAAAATACTTTCTGTGCTTGTTCTAGGGAGGGGTGATGTGCCATATTAATTTTTGCAAGGAGCTGGCGTGTTGGCTACTTTGCCGGTGACCCTTGGTGCCTAGCGAGAGCACTTTGCATTCTTAGTGTGGCGTTCAGGTAGACATGGCCTTGTTGTCTAATTGGCCTTGTTCTAGTGCCTGTTCAAGTGGATGGGATTTTGCTGTTGAATCCTGGTGCAATAAATCTATACACAGTGTTTTCTCCATTGTGGACTGAAAGAGAGAGTTGGTGTCACAACCACTTATTCAGCATGTTGTACCCAAACCAGTGCGTAGTGTAGCAACTGCCTGGAGAAAATGGATGCCTTGAGCTACGGTGGTGGTAGCAGCTTGCAGCTCCTGGTGCTAGTGAGTTATGGGAGAATTGCTACTGATGCTAACCACTGATTCAAAACTAACACCGTGAAATTAGTACTTACTGTCACAAAAATCTTGGTACAGCAGAGTAGAAAATGTAACCTCTAAATGAGATGGCCTCTTACCTTTCCTTTCTGTACAATGTTTCCTGGAAGACAGTAAATCTATTAGCTGAATTTTATTTGGTCTTCTTATGAAGCTCTTTATAACAGAGGGATAACTCAGGAGTATCGTTTTGCAGCAAGGTCCAAGGTACTTTGCCTTGGAAACATTTTTTTTTTTTTCCCTTCAGCAGTCCTGATGCTCACTATCTCACTTGAATTCATTTGTGTATACTGTTATGGCCTGCTCATCAGATGGCCTGAGCAGTCGCCATTTCCATTAAAGTCCTTGAAAAAGAGAAGTGTTCAGTGCTTCTGAAACCAGGGCATGCTCAGCGCAGCTGATGAGGATGTGCGAGGTGCTGCTGTGGTCCTGGTTCCTGACAGCAGCTGGACTATAACCCCTAATGTATGTTAACACAGATCAGATATTGGAAAAATCAGTGGTGTTATGAAAATGAGCAGAACTTGTTTTCCTTGTCAAAATTGTTGAGGGGATACCAAGACCCGCAGGAGAACTTTCTTAGTACGTTACTGCTAACATCCTTATTTGTTTGATTATTTCTTTTAAGCCTGAAAAAGGGAAACTGTGCCTTTGTAAATATTGGAATTTCCTCAGTATGTCGTTCACAACGTGACTATTGTGCAGAATTGTAATTTTCTATTTCTGTATGTCAGACAGCAATTGTGGCTTGCGCTAAGTTAGTATTATCATGCATATGGCTACTTTTTCCTTAGGCTCAAAGGCGAAGAATGACAGCCTGGTGGTGCCGTGGGGAGGCCAAAGGGCAGATGGGGCTGGGCAAGGGCCCCTCCCAAGCTCGTGGCCGAGGGCTGCCTTCAGTCGGGACGTTCCCTTTCCCAGCCGGTCTTGCCCGCACCCTGGTCCTTTTGATGAGGATGTGCATGTACAAGGGGCAAACAAGATTTTAACCTTCCTCCTTCTGAACTGTGATTTCTATGCTTTCTTTGTGCTGTTTTCATGCTGTCTAATACCACTTCTGCCCCAGTGTTGTGTGTGTGTGTTTTTGTTTTGTTTTTGTTTTAGGGGGATGGTGGGAGAATATATTTTATTTGTCCTATGTTGCCTCTTTTAGCTTTTGCTATCACCTTGTGTCTCACTCACTTCTTCCTTGCAGGGGCTGCATCGTTCCTGCCTTGCAGCTGAAACACAAGGAGGACCCTGCTACTCCTGGTCTTGTCCTTCGGTTTCTTGCTTTGTCACGTGAGAACGCCTCTTTCGCAGAGCTTTCCCATCACTGCTCTCCTACGTTCTTGTCCTTTTGTCTCTCTAACTTTTTATTCTGCTCCTTGCTGTATTTCTCTTTCCTGACTGCTACCTCTTTCAGTTCATCTTCACTCATTTCAGTTCATCTGTTCTCATTTATTCTCATCTTCTTTCTCTCTTCTCTCTTACATCTTAATTTCTGCGTTGTGGAGACCCTTCCAAAATCTCAGGTTTGGAGGTACTTCCCTGGCTTTCCTCTCTGTAGTGAGATGCCCTGCCTGCTGGAGCCAGGTGACCCTTTCCTGACACTGGTGGCCCAAGTTGTTAGGTCTCAAGTGCCCAGAAGATCCAGCCGGAGCGTGCTGTGGAGGCAGGGCTGGGGATCCAGGCAACGGCTGGGCCACCGATGACGGCGTGCGCCCTGCACTAGCTGTGCTGTTTTGAACCGGGGCGTATTTAAGTTATGTGACTCTCATTTTATGAATTTGGCAGTATGCCTATGGCTTTGCAGAGTCAGCTGTAGTGTGACAGAAGACTTATCTTTGGTTTGTACTGTGGCAGTGGTAAAGATGGGCCAGCAGACATCTTCCCCTCCAGCCTACAAGAGAGAGGTGAAGGAGAGGAATTTTCTACTTTCAGTGTGCTGGTTCTATTCTTGTTTATTTATAGGTGGTCAAATTACTGTTGTGATGACCTTTCCCCACTTCCATTTGAGCTGATGGCTGCTTGCAGCTGGATTCTTGCTTCCCCTGAATTTCCGAAAGCTGGCCTGCTACATGGTCAGAGAAGCTGCTAATAGAGTTAACTTTGCTACTGTGATTAGTATTTTGTCCTCTCCTCCTTTTATGATTTTTCTAAAGATTCTTAATGAACCCAATATTCTTGGCAGACCAAAAAAAAAAAAAAATCCCCCAGCACTTTGAAGTCTTTTCTTCTTTCTTTCTAGGTGCCTTTGTTGTCTGCTGGACTCCTGGCCTGGTGGTTTTACTACTCGATGGTCTGAATTGCACCCACTGTGGGATTCAGCATGTTAAAAGGTGGTTTCTTCTTCTGGCCTTGTTGAACTCTGTCATGAATCCAATAATTTATTCATACAAAGATGATGAAATGTGGGGCACCATGAGAAGGATGATTTGCTGCTCCTCTGATGATAAGAGTCAGGACAGACGCTCCTCACGGATCCCCTCGACGGTGCTCTGCAGGGGCACAGAAGCCACGGGGCAGTACGTTGAGGACGGCATTATTCAAGGGACTGTCTGTGGAAAAGGAGATCTTGGTGACAAAGGAAACTCCTGAGCTATTCAAGGACTGACCTGGCTGAGAAAAGGTGGGGGAAGGGAGAAGTTTTGCAAGAGGAGATTGACTGGCAAAGCTAGTAACAATGTATCCATTTTGTTCCCAGAGCCCAAACCCCAGTGTTCACAAAAGTTCTTATAAATAATTGCCTGATGGAAAAACACGTTGTATGGAAGAAAACTTTCTGTACTGCCGACTTTTTTCTTTTTCTTTTTTTCCTTTCCACAATGAAATTGTTCATGTCTGTGGAATAAATATGTCTGAGATACTTTTTATGCATGGAAACAAAATGTAAGCAACACAGTGAGACCCTCCTTAAGCTCCTGCAGAAAGAATAAACCTTCCTTGCAGTGCAGTTTTGGCATTCATTGAGTATTTATGCATTGAACAGGTTTTGTGCATTTTGAGGAGGATTGTAGACCGGGTTGGAGAGGATTGTGACCCACTTGCTTTCTCTGTTTATGAAGTTCATGAAATAGTTTATACTTACCTTCTCTCTTCCTCCTCCTTCTCCTGCTTTCAAAATAAGTAGTTTGATGGCTTGTTTAAACAATGCCAGAAACCTGGCTGTGATGGGAAGCCCGAAATAGATACCAGTGTGTGTGAGTATATCAAAGCCCACCACAAATGGTCAGGATATGACGGTACCAAAAGCACAAAAGCCATTGTTACTTTCATGGGGAGGATGAATCGCTGCAAGGAGGTACATTGCACACTTTGCTGCTATCTCATAGGCAGGCACTGAGGGTGGATGGATAGAAAACCAGTGTGGCTGTGGGGGAAAATGGACTAGACTCTTTTCTTGCCCATCGTATATTATCTGGGGAAGTATGGTTGCCCCTCTTGAACTGCTATGAGGCTGAGAGAAATGATATCTAAAACCCTGTTCTAAAAGACAAACTTCTTTTACAAAAGAAAAAAAAATCCTGCTAGGGTACAATCTAAGTTTTTCACCCTGCCTTGATTTGGACGATCTTACTGGAAGATACTTGAGGAAGAAGCCATGAAACAACAAGCAATGAAGGGCTTTCAGCATTATAACTAATCAGGTTTGGTGTGGAATGCAGCCGCAGTCCATAAAGCTGAAGTTTGACATATAAACTATGCTCTAATGGAGTATTTACCTATTTAAAGCTCTAGGATAATGTTTTTGAATTTAAACTTTTAATTTAAAACTGGAATGTAGATGTCTTGGTTGTCTGAGAACGTAGCCTCTCTCTCTTTCTGACTTGAAAAGTAGTGAGCTCCCTACTACTCCTTTATTGTTTCAACAGGCATTACCTGTGTATCCTAGAGAAAATACGATCCGTGGTGACGGTAAAACCAGAGGTGACTTTGTAAAGTTTTGGAAATTTTGGTCATTTGGAAGGATCAGAGAACAGCATCAAGCGCATGCTACGTGAGGCTGAACGATAAGCTGCGGTTTGGCCAAATTCTTTTGGTGTTGCCTGCATACAGGTATCTGGATTATGTTGGTCAAAAGTGGAGCTGGCACTTGGCTTAAAGGCCGAGCTACAGTTTTGTAGAAGGCATTTGGGGATTTTGTAGCAGGACCCTATAAACACAGTAAGCCCTTATTCAGAGCTCTTCTATAATATCAGTTAGCTTGCAGGGCTGTGGCCTAACATTTCAAGATAAACGCTGTACTTGTAATGTTGAAAAGGTTTACATGTGTTTTTGCTATTATAATGCAATATTCTTGTGCAAATACTACTTCATTAGTTTGGTGTTTTGAAAGGTTTAAGTGGTGCTTTCTAGAGTCAGTGGCATTACAAAGACGTGTCACACAACCGTTCATGTCTCTATAATCACTTGCAGTGCAGTTTGTGTTAACCAGACTGAAACTCAATATATGAAGCTAACAAAATAAAATGCTCCTTCAAAATAAAATACTTGTTTTGTTTCCTGTTTGGATGGTGACTGAACGTTACCTGGCAGTATAGTCAGCAGTAAATGACTGCTGTTATTGTTGTTTATTCCAGGGATCTGTCTAAGCTAAGGCTGGTCAAACTGCAGATAAAAATGAAGATCAGGAAACTTTGTTTCAGATTACTACAAAAGGGTTCTTGTTTTAATGAAATTGTTGTGTTTATTAACAATAGTAGCCAGTGTTACGGTTGGTTGGATTAGGACCCAAGGAGGACTCAGATGAAAGTCTGGGACATCTGCAGCAATGGAGGAAACCCAAGAATTCCCCTGCAGAGCTTTCCCCTCAGAACTTGGGGTGTGTGCTGCAAAACAACCACATATGGATGTTTTTCCAGGTAAGCAGGAAAAGGTGAACCCTGTAAAGACAAAGGGTGGTGCTTGTTTGTGCAGCTCCTTGTATAGTGGACTCCTGGTCCGGATTGAGATCTGAGAGCTATCACAGGTTAAACAATCATTCTGGCACAAATACATGGAAGGAGTCACAGAGCTCTGTGCTTGTGCTTTCTGTTGCCTGATGAAAAGTAGCTTGCAAACTGGTGCTCTGTGAATGGCATACTTTGATGTGTCATGCCCTCTATTTTGGCATGATGGTTCTCTTACAGAGCTGCTACCTTATTCTCTGTTACTCACATTTATTACATGACACGCTTAAAACAGGGAATTGATGTTGCATCAAGCTTTCCTACAGAGTGCTACAGCAGAGACTATGTAATGTTTCCTATATCAAACTGTCCAAACATTCAGTTATTCCCCCAGCAGGGAATTTCTTTTTATTTCTACAAACTGTCAGAATAGTTTGTTCTAAGAAAAGCATATTGCAGTGCTGTTTGCACTTGAGTAAAACAGCTAGTTTTTAAGTAAGTTCTGCAGGATTTTCATATTGTTTTTTCAGTGGTGTCCCAAAGAAGGTCCCAGTATCAGTTGACTTGGCACGTGTCCACTCCTGTTTATGTATGCCAGCCGTATTCTACTGATGCACGAGATGAAATTCATCCTTATGGGGAAAGCTTTAGGCTTTTTAGTCCTTAGAAACTCTCAGACTTTCATTCTTGGGAGACAGAGAATGGCAAGGGTAGAGTTACCATTGTATTGGAGGGTTATAAGGCTCTATATGTTCCCAGTGTCTCCAGAGGCCCTTCCTCATCTGGGGGAGCCTCAAGAGCCAGAGGCAGAAGAGCAGAGCCCTTGCATGGTAATGGTGGTACTACTTTGGGCCAAAGGTCAATCTACTTGGGATCTTGTCCTTCTGAGACCCTCTTTTTATCCCATATGTCTTCAAAATGACCTACAGTGGTGTGTTCCACAATTTGTTTGTGTTATGTGAAGAAAACCATTTCTTTTTGTTTAGTTTTAAATTGGCTACCTAATAACTTTGGACTCCTACTTCATATATTGTAGTAAACAGTGAACAAGTATTTCTAATTCAACATCTTCACAGCAATTATAGCTTAAACACTTTCGTCAAATTCCCCCTCCCTTTTCCCTCTCTAGTTGCACACCTTCCAAACCAAAGGCTTCCAGCTGATCAGTGGATGCAGGAAGAAATGCTCTGCAGCTTTTCCCAGGCCAGAGGTGTATGTGCTGTCCTCCGTGGTTAGGTCCCCACAAAGTCTGTGTGGTCATGATTGTTAGAGATGCTTTTCAAAGAACTATTATTAAAAGCCCAGAGCAATGGGATTTTACTTTACATGATAGATCATTTGAATCTTTCGGAATAAGTAACTAAAATGATTGTTATTTAATAGCTGTCTATGTGTGTGGGAGAAAAGTTTCTCTGATACATGTGCTGTCAGTCTGAGCTAGGTAGAGTGGGTGATGAGTCTTTCTGGGAGAAGAGCCAAATCACTACAGCTTGAGCAGCTCTGAAGTGTGGTTTCTTCACTACTTCTAGGACTGTTTTACCATGACTTTTTTCTTCCCTCCTCCTCAGTGTTTTTTTTGTAGTCAGGTTACTACTAATGAGTGAAATGCATCTATGCACGTGATAGCATGTGCATGTGTTTATGAACTGCAGTATTTTCGGTAAGTTATGTGAAATCATGATGCCTTTCTCTGATCAGATATATACGTACATATGTATTATTACTTTTATTAACTTAAAACTCTCTTCCTAATAGCTGTAGGAGCAATACTTCTACTATGATTCTTTTACAGTTTCAGTAGCCTCTGCATGAAGACTTCTAAACTGCTGCTTATTTGAAGCTGATGGGTGAAGGGTCATTTTAAACTTGCCCTATTTCTTATGCTCCTTCCCTATAGTTTTGACTATTGTCTAATATCCTAGAGAGGATACAGTGTGGGCTGATCCTTTTATCTTGCCCAAAGCAATTTCTGCTTGCAAGGTTAGACTCCAAAAGTGAAAATACCTGGAAATGCTGAAATGGAGAAGGCAGGTGAACCTCATTATTTATCCCTAGCTTATAATTCAAACAAACGTTGTAAGCGATCCCACTTTTCCCCTTGCCACCTACTTCCTCCTTATGCTGGTACAGCCATTTGTGAGACCATATGGCGAACTGTAGTGGGTGACCAACCTAGCTGAAAAATGACTCTGGATGGAATATGTCACTACTGCCTAGAGAAGATTTTCCACTTGCTGTGAACCAGCAGCTGAATTATTTCCTCGGTTTGCTGTATAGAGTCACATAGATGGTTTGGTTTCCAGAAGTCTGTAAAATACAATCCTCCTTAAATGCTACACTTTGCAGTGAGTAGACACACTTCTATCAATGAAAAGAAAGAGGGGAAAAAATCATTCTTGAAACAAGGAGTTAGGTCATGTTAGGCTTTTTTTTTCCTCCAAGGTCTTCTGAAAGATAAAGAATTTAGATACTTCTGTGTTAGAGCTGTTCCTCAAAACACCCTGCTTATCTTTCTTATAGTAATTAGTCCCTGAGTTTCTCTTCTACCTCTTTTTATAATATCAAGGGTTTCTTTCACTGAAGCAGGCAAGCACATCTGTTTTTTTTTCCCCCAACCTATTCAGAAGTTCTGTTTTGCAGCCCTTAAGTACGCTATTTTTAATAGTTTCCTGTATGCATTTCAGTGGACTTCTCCTGTATGTACTGAAGTAAATTAATTTTCAAACTAACCTCTGCCATGTTTGTCACAGGAACTGTTTTATTCTGAACTAGCCTCCACAAATTTCCACGGTGGTGCACTCAGGGCTCTGATGCACAACCGTATCAGAAAACACCCACAGTAAGATGAGCACAAATCACTTATCTGTTCTCACTAATTGCTGTATTTTAATTTAAATGTCAACTTCCTTAAAACTATAGACATGGTCTAATTTTTCTAAAAAACTCCTCTGCACCTCTGTAGGCCAGGAGTAAGCAAGCACCTGACCTTTTTAGTTTACCTTGTTTTCTTTGATATATATGAAAATAAGGAAGTCATGATTCTAAGCACAAGTTAACAAGTAGTTGCTTGGAGTTTAGACAGAGTCTCTGTGGGGATGTGGTATTCATCTAGAGATGTTCTTTCGCTTTCCTCATAAACCTAACTGGTAGCTGTAGAAGGAGATAGGATAGTGGCCTAGAAGAACTGTTGGTCTTACCCAGTATTGCATTTCATATAGGTAACAGTATCATATAGGTATATGTATCTACTGTCTTGATGGTAAATGTTAAGCTTCTCCCACGTGTGCTAAACTCTTGTAGTACTGTAGAGCTGATGTTATATCCAGCTTCCATTTATATTTATGCAAACATATGCTTGGTATGTTGGCTTTGATTAGCTTTCTATTAGAAATATGTTCAGTTACTAATGGATGTCAAAGCGCATGGGAGTGAAAAGGCTTGACCTTGGGATGGAAATGTTATTAATGCTTAAATGATTCTATTCAAATTCTGGTTAACGCATCAGTTGTTACGAAAGTCAGTCTATTTGTTTGTGCAGCGCACTTTGTGATATTAGGCTGTGATTTTCCCACAGGTATAAATGAGTTAATTTAGTCACAAATGTACAG